TCCTTCAAGTACTTTTTTTTTCTTTTTTTTAAAACATTTTATTGAGAAATATTAAAATCTATCTTAATATTAAAATCAATTCATACCGTATATACAGAAATATAAATAAAGTAATAACAAAAGAATAAGAAAAAAAATATATATATACACATAAGTAAAAATAGAAATAAAAGTAAAACAAACCTCTTAGATACATGCATACCTATATACACTACTTACAATCAGCCAGGTAATCTCCGAACCAATCTTGCCAACAGACGTGTGGAGGGAAAAGCGAGGCTTAGGAAATCCCAACGCTTCTCCCTCAGCCACTTCATTGGTAGCTAAACCAGCGGAGGATGAGTAAGAGCGCTACACTCATGACTTGAGTGGAGAATCTAGCCATTGCTAGAATTCCAAAATATCCATATTTACAAAAGGTCTCGTAGCCACTGCCGCTTTAACATACGAAGAGGATTGTAGGGATGGGTGGTGCTTGATAGGGATTGCACAACGGGATTTGGGTGATGAGAAAGGTTCTGGCGAAATTTGGAAAATTTAGCTGGGATAAGGTTAAGCTTGAAATTACTAATAATATTTAATAACTCTCTATGAATAATAGATATTTCAATCAATATAGTTTTTGAGTATTTTAAAGTGTTATCCTCTTGTTTTACACAACTTTTGTATAACTTGTTTTCTTGATCCGAAATCAAAGCTCTTTTTCATGCAAAAAGGAAGAAAATGTTTAAAAATTCTAAACGTCCTGCCTCAAATGCGCAACCTGAACAATTATTAGCCCGAGGAATCAGCACCACCTGGAGGGGAAAGATAAACTTCACGGCCGACAATAATGCCAGGCTGAATATTGGAATAAGAAGGGGGTGGAAGGAGAACAAGAAGACCATAAAAGTAGGAAAATGGAAGGAGGAATGGAGAGAATAAAGGATGATATTAAACCTTCCCTAGCTCTCATAAATTTCTCCTTCTAAACCTGCCCCTCTTGAGGGAGCCAGCCGTAATTGTGAAGAGACGCCGAGGGCTCTCCGGGTAACGAGCGGCTTTGTACATCCTCCACTCCGTCCCATTTCCCTCTCCCCTATAGCTGAAATTTCAAACACATTTTACTCTTTTCTGCTTCGATTTTCTCGAATACTTTCAGGAATGGACGCGAGAGTGGTTTAGAAATGGAAAATGTTTTAGAAAACTTTCGCGTCGTTAGGATTCGTTGTAAGCTGAAATTTGTAGATTTATCTTTATCCTAATTGGCAGTTTTTATACAAATCGCGCCAGACTAATACATTCATGTTGTAGGAGAGATATATTTGTTATATTCTATAATTTACGGAATGTTCGACTATGCGGAATCCAAGATCTCTGTAAATATTCTTCGGGTGATTGCATCTCGACCTGTGCATCTGAGATGTAATGAATTTGGTTTTACCGGACTAATCCAGTGTATCAATCTTTGATGGCTTTAGTACTAGTGATGCGGTTGAGAGAGTAGCACAGGGTACTCCTGGAGTTCCCTTGCCTGATTGTAAACAGGTATGCATGTGTTTTTTTGCTTAGTTTTAATTTTCTTTTTTTAGGTTATTTCATTTTATTTATTGTATATACTTTTTGATTATTATTTTGCTTCTATTTATTTTATAGTTTTGTACATATAGTATGAATATTAACCTACCTCCCTATAACTAATATCCAAGAGATAGATTCTTGTGATACTCAATAAAATAAAATAATAAAAAATATGAAGGTACTTTAGAACAAAAAATCCCGTGTAAATCTGGGTACGAAGATTAGAGCAAGATGTGGATAAGAAGATTTTAAAGGTACGTAGGACCAGTAGAGCTCGAAGATGGTTTGTGGATATCGTATTGTTAACGAAATTTCGAGTTCTCTTAGCCTACTTTTTTATTTTATTTTATTTTTTTCTAGGAATATTTCCTAAGAGAACCAGAACAATTGGTGACTTAGAGGCAATTATTTAAAAATACCTGGCAGACATGGCCATTCTCTTGACAAAACATAGGAGAAATGTAATAAAGGAAAACTCCAATTTTCATATATCATCTGCTGATGATAGGAGACAGGAACTAAACTAGGTTTTTTCTAGGAGGGGCAAGCTCAGTATTATCTCTCACAATAAAAGTCTTTCATTTGAATATTTTCGGTAATATATCTCAATATCATTGAAATATTCACAAGATCAATATCTTATTCTCACAAAATTAAGCCACTTAATTAAAAGAGCTAAGATCAAAACAAACAAAATGGTAGAAGTTACAGTAAAAGTATATTTTATAACTAATCGTTCAGATTTATTTACTTTGTCTTCAAATACAGGAAGCCTCAGCTGTAATGAAAGAATCAAAGTCCTTAATCACAAAGGTGTGAGGCTTTGACTCAAAAATTCAGAACGCATGCCCAACTCTTGGTAAAGAACAACATTGAGAAGAATATGGGGCGGAATTTTCGAAAATGGAATTTGGAGAAGAAGAAAGAATGAGGAGCTGCGGGAACTTTATGGAGAACCTGTATTGAGGCATTGATAGAAAGAGCCAGGAGAAGATGGTTAGATCATGTAGAATGTCCGTCCAAAGAATTCCTAAGAGGATTCTGTTTAAGAAGCCGGATGTGGAGGACGATCTAGGGCCATTGTAATAATAATAATATTTAGCTGTGATAATATTTTTAAAAATTACGTTCCAAATCGTCTGTTGGAAACATAGTTTTAGCAAATGTTTTACGGGTTATAACAATACACATTTATCAACGCAGTACATTTCATAAGTCACTTGTTAGTTGTTACAACTGGTAGAAGCTTTAATCCGAATCTTCAGAATTTACTTTAGATGCACATTCCATTAGACTAGTGTTTTTTAAATGTTTCTGGAATAATAGAAAAAAAAAAGATACCAAAGGCTAATATAAAAATAAAGTTATTTCTTTTTTTTTTTTTTGGATCCTCCCTTTCCTCGCCTTTAAGCCTATACGAGGTTGCCCTGGGCCAGGGCGGGGAGAGTGTGGGCGCGGATTTAAAAGACTCTCCCGGCACAGGGAATATTTTTTATCATTTTATCTCATATATCAGGTTGCCGTTCGGCCACGCGTTAGCCCGTTCGGCCACCCCTCTCAAGTTAATGTTTGCTAGTGAAACGTTTAATTTGAAACCTGGAACGCACTATTAAATGTTTTCGTTCCTTCCTGACCATCTGGCTATACAGGGTTTTCCTCGAGCCAGGAAAGAGGTTAGGGGATTAATGACAAATTGAAACGTCCTCTCTGCACCGGAATTCGAACTCGTAATCTTCGGTTCATCAGGTTGCCAGGCTACGCGTAGTTTACAGACGCTTTGGCCATTGGGCCACCTCGTTTTTGAAACCCACTATTTAGGAATCTAATGCCTTATGAACTGCTAACTTGGATTTATTTTCGGGATCGCTAGAGAGAAGCATTTAACAAACTATTGAACCGAGTTAAGGTGGATTTACTCGTCCTACAGGTTACAGTATTTCTAAGCGTCTTTCGTGCATCAGGTAATCAAAATACAGCCCCCTTCTACATCCTGCTGAGTCTAAATTTAAATCTCCCGTTCAATTAATATCAGACCCCGCACTTTTGACTTGTACCTTCCTCCACACCAAACTAATTTTTCAAGACTTTCCTATCTCGGAACAGAATTTCGCCCGCCTTACGTCATGCACTTTCCTCTTCCAAATTTCTCCTTTTTAACCACCATTTCCTCATCTAGTGCGAATGACGTATGCGAACATTGCATCATATATCTTTTATTTGGGATTGTATTTGTTTAAATTTATTATTTTTATTGTAGTAGCGATTAAGAACGATTTGACTTGAAGATGGTACGGCTAGATTGTTCTTGCTAACTTAAAATGATTAAAAAGGGATTTACGTCTCAGAATAATAAAAAAAATTTCAGTCCATTTCATTTAAACAACTCCGAGATGGACAATCCTCCGTGGTATAGATTTGCTCGGAGCCCAGGTCCATCCAAGACAGACCAAGACAAAGGAAGGAGGGTCCGATCCCCGACCTAGATCAACTGATTAACTGCGAGCCCGCCCTAAATGAGGGCATTAGGGCGGGAGTGTAAATTGGCGGGTCGATATTCCCGCCTTCCCTCTCTCATTATTCAACAGATGGTTATTAGTTCTTAGTCTTCTCTCCATTCATGAACGGCTTTAATTCTCCTAACCTCGTGGTCTACTCTTCCTCCCCTCTTATCCCATCTCCTTCCGTAAAATTGCTGGGGCGGTTGAAGCTCCTTTCTTATATTATTTTAAGATATGATCGTTTACTTTAAATTAAAGTGCTAAATCATTTACTGTTTTATTTTTGTTCGACAACAATTCATTTTCATCTGAAAATAACTATAGAAGCTATAATCGGTTTATATAATTATTGATTAGCTCATTTTCATTTGCATAGGTGGTATAAGGAGGTATGAAGCTTTCAATTTGTGGAGGGCAATGACATGTACCATTATCATTTTGGATGCCTGGAAGAAAAAAATAATCTAGGAGGCTCGGAAAAATGCCGGGAACGAACGGATTTTTAATTCAATTTGTATATTCTACTTACCTTAACGTAACGTAAACCACAAATTTGTCTACGAAAGTTAATTTTATTTATTGTGTTTTATGTCGCAAACGACAGATTACATAAAGACTTGAACATCCCAACAATTTCAGACACTGCAAAAAAAAACTACAACAACTTTCGCCAAAGAGTAAATTACAACACAAATCCTCTGACAGAAAACCTTAAAAGCACCAGAAACCCGTACAGCCCACCTCGACGATTACGTAGGCGGTGGCCAAGAGACCTGCTGAACTATTTCGTGGATTGTAATGGAACGCTGTGAAGCTGCCAAAAAATTTGCTCATTGCAAAGAAATTTGCATATCGCAAATTTAATTTTTTATGTCCAATTTATGTTAATAAATAGTATTAATATTGTTTGCTTATAAAAGTATATTATTAAACATGGTAAAACAAAAATGTAATACGCTGTTTACAATAAATGAAGCTCATATTTGAAGAATCACATGATATAAGTATCATCTGTTTCTTCATAGTTTGGTTTCTATCAAAATTATTGTTTTTAAAAATTAAGTGTTCCAAATTTATTACAAAATATATACATCATTTACACAAGAGGCTATTGGCGCTAATGTCATGGATGAAGTTTGTTCTAGCAGTTCTTCAGAAAGTTTTGAGTCGGCCGAAGAAGAGGTTTGTCCCAACAAACATTACGCGAGATCTGCCGCACACACCGTGTTCAATAATGACCAAGGTCTCTTCGACATCAGCCCGAGGAATGCGTCTTTGAACAGTTGCAACGACTACCAGGCGGCCATGGGCTGCAGGGTGGGCCAGGCACAACCTCCGACGCTCAGCCGGCTCCACGACATAATGGAGAAGGTGGTGGGCCCGGCGGAGTACACGCAGTTCGTAGGTCGCTCCACGCCAGACAAGCCTCTTGCAGATACTATGGTCGTAAGGAGGGTTATGGAAATGCTTGACATAAAGAATAAGATAATGTTGGCGACGAACGAGCTTCCAAAGGCCTTCGAGAAGATTGCTGCATCCCATGCTGCAAGCCGTTACCAGGGTGCGATGGAAGCCGCAGAACATGAGATGAGAGGTATATGCGATGAAGGTAAAGCGGAGGAAGCAGCTGTCCAAGGAGTCGAGAAGTACCAAACGGGATCATTGAAAGCCGAAATTCGATCGCCACCCAAGATCACCGTCCTTGGATACATTGGCTGCTATGGTGAACCTGAGAATACTCCTCCGAAACCGAAAAAGAAGTGTTGAAATTTGAAAATATTATTTTGATGTTAAATTAAGAATTACACGTGTATACTTCTGGTTCGTTTCCCAAGTATTGTATATTAGAAAACTTTTACAAAACTACGACATTACTGGTATCTTAATTTATATATATATATATATATATATATGCGATATATATATATATATATATATATATATATATATATATATATAATATATATATATATATATATATATATATATATATCGCATTGTTGGACCCCGCTTATTTCATTTCTTTACTTTCCTGTTATCCCACACCTTCCTCATCTCCTTTTTCGACCCTCTGCCTTCATATATATATATATATGAGAGAGAGAGAAATTAATTTCAAAACTAAATAAAATTTATCTGTGGTCATATTTTTCGATGCTTTAAGGCGTATTTCCAATTACTTATTTGTTCGAAATTATCTTTTAAGATTCAAGACGAGATTATAGAAATCGGCTAGTCCAGCTAAGATTCTCGAATCGGCCGTTCCGGCGTTCATTATTCCTTATAGAGACACGGAAAAGATGAGGTCCCCGGCAGAGGATCAAATGTTGTGTAATTGCCCCGACGAAGACAATGACTGACAAGTGGCCAATATAAAGCCAGCTCCTAATGAGGGAGCTCCCTTGGGCCGATATTAAACCCGCTCCTTGTTATTGCCTCTGTCCCTTTTATTCTTCTTTCGACTTGATTCTCCAAACCACTCTGGGATTCTCTGATTTTATTAATTCTGGTTCTATCGTTGTCATCTTAAAAAAAAAAACATTCCTGTTGCTATATCCAAACAAACTTGACTATTATAGGAAAATAACTGCAAGAGAAGCATTGAAATTTATGTTCTTTATCTCTTGAAACAAAAAAATTCCAAGCCTTTATAAACCTCTGGTCTTAATACAAATCAAAGTAGAACCATTCTTCATACCATTTTATATAAATAAAAAAAATATACTATTTTAGACTCTGCCATTCAAGACGAGGTGCATCTATTCCCACTTTCCTTCTAAAAATCTTGATACTAATAATACATCTACCTATTCATGTTTTATTCCCTATGATTTTCTTAGTAACACCTTAAAGGACATGTGTATGTGTTAGGTGACATGGAAATTACCCACAGGCATCATAATTAACAATTATCTCAAAATCATAATTTTATAACAAAAATTAACTTGTAACTGCTTTTGATTGTTGAAATGTATCAATGTTATTAATTTTCAGAGACTTGTCCAGCTTTCCATGTCAAAGGGATAAGATAAATTTTGTGAGGCGTTCATGCAGGCATTTTCTTCTAGTCGTGATGGTTATTCCAATATACCGAATTTTGTAAAGTTTATATGAATTTTGATAGCAAGGTCAAAAAAAGTGAAGTATGTTTCGTTTTTTTTTTTTCAAAATGTACATAATGTACCGCATTGAAGCAACTTTTTGAAAGTTTACCCCTTTCCCAGCACGCTTTATTTGCTTACAGATCCAATGATAAATATTGAAACAATAAAATATTGACTATTTTATTAATTTTAATTTTGTATCGTTTTGCTTTGTAAATTTTTAATGTTTTCTACCTTTAAATTTATTACAAATTTCTTTTAAAATTCAATTTTTTGTAATTTAAATTATTTTAACTTCAAATTTTCTATTAAGAGCTATAATGCATATGGACCAAAATGACACTTGAGTGGTTGAAAATCTCGCATTGTTATAAATAAATAAAAATTATTTTGTAGTCTTCCAGAAAATACTAATAGTGCAAAACCTTTTTTTGCTTCAAATGAGAAAAAATAATTGTGGAATAGGGCAGTTTTGTCATTAAATGGGGCGAAGGCCAGTTTTTATTTTTATTTATTAGGTAACCTGTATGAGTAATTACTCATATACAAATCGACTTTCTGCGCCCTTTAAATATGCTTCAAGAAGGTAATATATTAATGACAATCCTTGTTCACATTTTTGTCGGCGTCTTCTGTTGAAAATTAATCCAAGGACACAGTCCTAGAAGTAGTAAAAATAAAAAAATAAACAACAAAACTGACTATTCAATGCAAACGTTATGATCCATGTTGTAGGTCTTTTTCGGGGCTGAAACATAGAAACAAATAGCTGTCCCGGACCATCTCGATCTTACATTAATATTTGTTTTATATTAATAAATATTATTATTTTTTATATTAATATTGATATTTATAACAGAGATGTTTCAAATGAAATCTTGGAATAATTTACGTTGTAGGGTTTTTCTAGATTTTCAAGGACTGCAAGTTCCTCGACTATCAAAGAAGCCACGAAGTGCATTATAGGAGGAACAGTGGAACACCCCTGGAAGAAGAGATCGATGTGGAACATGGCGGCCGATCACACACCGGGGTATTGAACCGGAATCTGCCACCCCCGCCTTGGGGGCGGATTTCTTTCCCTTCTTCTTGTCTTCGCTCCTTCACACATGGCCACCCCCACTGGCCCTAACTCCTCCCACATGTGAGCTCTGCACTGTATCCTCTTGTATCTTTTTGTATCTATACATGGTGATTCGGAAGGTATATAAACAACATTTATATGGACGTATTACGGATCTACAATTGTGACCTGCAACTAAAAAATAATTCAGCATGCATCATCTGATACCAGAATTAAAGATTTATCTATTTAGGAGAGACTAGGTACGATTCTGCAAGGGTAAAACAAGAGATATTCGTCATATTAGCAAAACTATAAGGAATCACCGATATGTTACTAGGGGAAAAAGAGATGTTGTGCCTGTCTGAACGTATTTAACAGTATTGCTAGCACATCGAGCGACATTAACGTAGTAAATTTGAGGTCTTCATTACTTTTTAACAGTCAAGAGAATCTATTTTTTTTTCTATTTCTTTAAATAATTTGTGTTATATATGTACAGGTAGATTTATGATTGTTTTTTCTCATTATAAATTAAAAATCAGTTGCTAATTAGTAGTTATTTTGTATGTAGATAATTTTATTTTGTCGAGGCGACTGTGTTTTCATGAAGGAGTGGGTTGAGTACTAGTCCGTGTTACAGACCCCTTTTTATCGAATTATTAACATCCGCCTGAAACTTCGTACATAATTTCATCTCTTCGTAATCTACAATTATTTTATTTACGACAACTCTTGGAATTGGGGCGTTTTCAATCTGGATGGGGGCAAACTTTGTCTATTTAATTAGGTAGTAAAAAAATCGTAAATACTCATTTGACACATTTTCAGAGGAGGGAGGTGTGACACATGTATGCTTTATTAGTTAAAATAATAACTAATAAACAAATAAATAAAACAATAAACTAATAAACAAATAATTAATTTGTTTTATAATTTTATATAATACAATAAAAGTTATTTTAGACTATTTTGGTGTATTGTTGAACCTATCACTGCCGATTCTAAGCACTCTCACAACTATTCTTGGGGTGTGGTCTGTTGTAATTTTTTTTTTTTTTCTAATTTGTACCTATGCCATTGTACTTACGTACAAAATTTTACTAATTATACATTATATTGGAGTTCTGGCAATGGCCAGATTCTTCACTCAAGCAATGTATATCTGGTGTCTCTGTTCAGCCTCCATTGGTAATACCATTGATGCGGCTGAGTGAAAGACGCTGGGATCTCCTAGAGTTCTGCCTTCCCCTCCACGAGTGTGGGGAAAGGCTTGGCCCGGAGATCTTGAATGACTGAATATTGTATAAAAACATGTGTATAAGTAAAAACATGTATTTAAGTATTTATTTCGTTAGATTAGTTTATTTTTGTTTAGTTTATATATATTTGCTTTAGTATTACTATATTGCTGTTTATTATTTTTATTTACTGTGCATAGTATGAATGAACTACTCTATATCACTATTACTATTGTCCTTGAATGTGACAGATTGTAACATATCTCAATAAAGACTATTAATAAAAAAATGATACATAGTCAAGTATACACTTTACACAAAAGAAAGGTGTTTTTTTTTTTTATAGTCAAGTATACACTTTACTATAAAAAACACCTTTCTTCTGTCTAATTGATATACTAAGAAAATTGAGGGAGAATAACTGAAAATTTTCTCAACCATACTCAGTCTTTCCATGTGCATGTGATCTCTAGCAATATAAGTTTAGCTACTTCAATCCTGTTATGGGATGAACTATGTTTCTTCTGAATTGTCAACTGAACAGTTACTTGTTACTCAGGTAGATAAACACTACAATGCGCAAAACTTTGCCTGGTAAGGAACTTCTAAATGAATTAGGTAGATTTTGTTAATAAACAGTGAGTTTATTTTTCTGAAATAAATAGAACTAAACAGAAAAATATATTCTTTGGAAATTGTAAAACCTTAGATTAAACTTGATTATGTATTCCAAATATAGGAAAGCTACATCAACAAGAAAGAATTTGTCTCGTTAGTATGACATTGCGTAGATAAAAAATTTCAAATCTATGGAGGAGTATGAGGTCTGGTATTGTGTTCTTGGAGTAAGATGCTTAACAAAATTTATTCTTATAATACACCACATTCATTTTTAAATGGTAAAAGATATATATGATTTGTGATTGAATTGTTTTAATTTACTTTTACAATTACAATCGATTCATAAAACTTTAAATTGAAATAAACCAACCAAGACGGCGGTTGACAAACCAACCAAAAGTAAATGGTAACGACAGTACAGCTGACTGGTGTACGGCGGACTATCTGGTTAACTTGAAGTTGAACAGCTTATTTAGCTGCTTATACAGCTTATACAGTTTAGTTAGATTTGTTTTCGAGATCGTAAAAGACACGCTCACTATTATAAGATATGACTCACTATTATGTGGATCTTATTTGGCTCCACCCATCTTACAGGCGTCAATATTTTCCTATACAAATTTAATCCAAAAAACCGCACAGCCGTCATTTTCCAACCAATACTATCTCATCCGATCTCGTCCTTCTTACTTCTACCCTCCTCCTCATCCAACTCCTGTATTCGACAATTTCTAACTTGGGCTGCCGTTTGTCATATTATATTCGTCATCCTTCAACTGTCTCTTCATTCAAATCTTCTTCTCAACCATCTTTTCCTCTCTATTTCCAATCAATATTATATTATTTG